TCTCATTTTGTCGAATAGATCCAGGCATATAATGATCTTACTTCGATTTGCCTGCTCTTCTTAGCTTTGTACTTTGTTTTTTTCCAGTTGGCGTTAAATAAATAAGAAACAAGTTTAAAAAAAAAAAAACTAAATGTCGTTTTAATTCATTTCCTAATACATAAATTTCTTAGACTTGCGTTAGAACTTGAACATAAAAAGTGATTGGTAGTAATCATAAAATAAGAAGCACGACAAATTTTATTGTATTTGTAGCCCGAGAATACAAAGAGTAAAATATTCAAAAGCAAGATATAACTATAAATATAAAAATGTAATAAGAAAATTGTACTTACGAGATATAACAGACATTTAGTATGTGCAATGCAATTTGATTCGAAAATAATCTAAAAGACTTTTGATAAGAGTAGAATGTAGATGATTAGGTTAGACATATGTTTCTATTACGAAAAACATAATTCTTGCTTGTTTTTTAATTTGTAAACAAAAGTGAAGAAATTCTTACCTATTTGTTTCAACCGTTAACTGTTGTGATAAACCATATAATGTCTTTGTATTATATGGAAGATTGATGAAGAGAAATGGTGGTGTATTAACAAAATGATTCACTTTTGTAATTCGTGGCATTTTACATATTACTTTTAGACTAAAAGTTCATAATATATTCACCATAGGAAGAAGTATAACTCCGAATTAGTTGTCTTATACTTTTCTTTTTGCTTTTGTGTCAACATCTTCTATGATCATTTCGTTCCATCCATAAACTCCCGTATAATGAACTGAACCACCTGTATAAGGATCGATAATATTTTGACCACATTCGGCGGTACGTTCTTCTTGAAATTCAATTAGTGTCTGTGGAAATTTGTTAAAATCATTTTTGCTGCAATAGAATAAAAATAGTTTAAGCAGTAGAAGCTAATACTATTGGTCATAGTATTAAGTTCTGAACAGAAATGTGTTCATATCTGTTGTTTCGCTGTCGACTGATTTTGATCTTCTTTATTGAGCTGAAATACAAAAGCAGTGGTTATTTTTTTAATAACTCTGCATCAAATAAAGATAGAGACTTGTGGTTTTCACCATTCGATAGACAAAACTTGAGACTATCTTTCCACAAGCAAAGCCGATTTTTGGAAAATTTTCGGAGCCGATTTTCCAGCGAATCATTGAGAAACCAGCTTAGTTTTTCCGAAATTCAAATAGAAATCTATTGATCTATGGGACGTATATAGACTGAAGTGTCCTCTACAAAACTGGATCTATGTGACATCTTGAAACCTATGGTTCGGGAGCTATGAACGTATTTCTTATAACCTTAGCACTCCTCTGCCATTAAGCTTGGGACTGTGGGAAGTGAATGAAAACATAGGTTATCGGCTATGCTGAATCTCGTGGGAATGTTAGATTTCAGAAAAAAATGCAAGAATTGAGTAAAACCCTATACTAGGTGAAATAACCCATTTTTGATTATTTACACCAAAAATTAAAAAATTCATAACTAACCCAAGCGTCAAAAAAAAATCTAGTATCGCCCGATTCATCTAGATTACTAGATTTTTACTCGATTGCAACTACTGTGTAACGACAGTGGAAATCTAGTAATTAGGCGATTACTAGATTTTTTCTAATTGCAACTATCGATTTATCGCCCGATAATCGATCGATTTAACTACTGCTAGTTGCACGTGCAGACGCATCTAGTTAAATATTTTAATATTTAGCTTACCAATTAGAATTAGACACAGCACAACTGAAGAATGAACATTTTTTAACCCAATGGTTCACATGTTATTATGGAACATCAGAAGATAAACTCGAATCGATATTGAGAAATCGATCTATCCCGCTACATGGTGATAAGTTACTGAGCGGTGATGTTTTTGAGACACATATAAAGGACAAACACTATATACACACGTCGCCATCAATCAAATATGCAAGTAGTTCGTATTTTAGTCCTTCAACAATGTTCATAGCTAGTGACAATCACATTTATAACATACAAACCGTATTGCAGTGCAAGCAGAAGCCTCATACATTTACATTACAACCAGGATTCAATAGTGCGAAAGACGATATTCTTATGCATACAAAAATAGATTGGAAATCGAACGCACGCGCCAGCATTGTTACCACTTCACTTTTAATACGCGTGACAGACAGGGATCATGCTAATCCTTGAAACGAAAACACTGACATCTTTAGACAAAATCTAGTTGTTTATGCTGTGAAAAGACGTATGAAATACATTATATCGTTCTCGATAAAGGATCCATGAAAGCTGCTAAATGTTATCTATTTCAACATGTTTGTTTGGAGTCACCCAAATGCGTTTTTTTCTATTTTTAAAACAGTTGATATCGAGTGACTATTCTCAGATGAAAATGAGACGACAACGTAAACTTTTTCAAGACTCTTTTACGCACGTTGTACGTTTCCTTTCATTTGAGCGATTATTATCCAATGCAATTTTTCTTAATATTGAAGTCAGTAAACACGGTTGAATAATTGTAGATCCTTATATATATACTTTTCCTTTAGAAAAGTTTGTCAGTCTAACCTCTGTGAAGCTAGAGAGAATAAAAGCTCTGGTAATGGTAACAACTGAAGCCGCTGTCAGTTGCTCATAGGATTAAGTATTTCGAAAATTCTGAGAAAATGGCTACATCTGCGTAGAATCGTAGATCATGCTGTTTTACAATTAATGCAAATTTTAGCAGCGGGTGATCGTATTCGTATATTATCAATTAAAGCACTTTAGAAAATGACGATAATACATTAGTTAAAGGTAGCTTATTGTCGAGAAGAATGACACCGTTGAACTAACCTTTTGCTAGCACGATTCACTATAACGAATTTTTTTAATTTGCTGTCCTATCAAGTGCATGTGTGACGGATGCTAGTTCTCAGGAATGCGTGAGTCCGAGCCAAGTCCAAGAACTTCGAGAGTCTTTCAAAAAAAGCTCCGGTCCAAGTCCGAGTCTATCGAAAAATCGTCCAGTTCAGACTCGTACTAGTTTAACCCTGCTAGTGCTGCCTATGTTAGTAAACTGGGGATGAATCAGAAACTATTTTATGCAGAGCCGCAAATTGCAGGTGTGTATGGGAGGGTGTACGGCTCCCCAAAAATAAACATATGTCCTTTCTTCTCAGCGAAATTTTTTTTCGTTATTTTGGTTTTCTTACACTACCCAGAAAACATTTTACATTCCCCTGAAGTTGACTTCCTATTTACGACCCTGATTTTATGCGGCAAAGATAAGACGCACCTAAAGAGGCCATAAAAATAGTCTACAAAAATTGGGTCGTTATTTGTATTTGGCGCCATTCCCTCCAAAGGAAGATAGCACAACTCTGTCATCTCTTACCAGAACGATACAGTCCATAGAAAAAAGTGCATTTTGTGGAGCTTGAATTCTGTATCTTTTGATATAAAAACAATAATTTTTATAAGTCAAGACTTTAAGGAGGTCTCCAAAATAAAGTACCACCTCGTTGATCAAACATGCCTTTTTGCTGTTTTCCATTTTACAAAACAGTAGCAAATAAGCGTATAAGAAACAACTCACTTTATATACTTCGAAAAATTCTGCGTGTTTTAGGCCTTGAACCAAATTTGTTGAGAAATACTGAAGGGGAAAATTGCATTTCGAATTTTTCTGATTTTGCATTTGAGATTCTTGTGGCTTTGAGTCTTTTTACTGTTGTAAAAGAACGGGACATGCTTATTTTTAAAACAATACATGAATAAAATCTAGACATAATTCTCTATCTTTCTGACATAAAAATGAAATTTTCTGATCAAGTTTAATTCGAGAAAAAATTTTGCAAAGTGGTGTCGTTTTCTCTAACTCTTTTTTTGAGACGACGAAGCCGACGTTGATAGAATAATTATTCCGGCTTGCAGCATTTTCTGTGTCTCAAGTTGAAGGTCTTTGCGTTGTTCTACTATTTTAAAATAAAATCTAGTGTTAATAGGGCGATGATCATCGGTATCTATGATGTGATGACCTTTTAACAAGGCCTAGATATCGCTGATCATTGTCATGTTCAATATGATCTTTTACTACTAACGAGGGAACCTCTCGAAGTTATAAATCGCTTTTTGATCGAAATTGAGCGGGATATAGGTTATCGACCATGCTGGTTCCGAATATGATTATGAGAGTTTCCCGTGGTCGTTGAAAGATTCGCTTTTCTGGAAAACCAGTTTTTCAGAAACTCTAAATAATAATCAAAAACCTTCTTACTGAGACAGAATTGTAGCCCGAAAATTTCTGATCAAAATGAGACATCTTCCAGTTCTACATGATGTTTCTTTGCAAAGTTATAGAATTCACAAGAAAAGCCCTAAATGTTTAAAGCTACAGAAATAACAAGAAATTAATTTAGGGCGTTTCTTCTAAATTCTATAACTCTGCAAAGAAAGGTCGCTTAGAGGTGGGAGATGTCTCATTCTAATCCCCAAGCAAATATCACCTATGGGAAAAATCTAGATACATTTCGTCTATAATCGGACGATACACGACTAGTTGCCATCTAGATTACTAGTTGGAAAAGGGACTTTTAACTAGATGCGTCTGCAGGTGCATCTAGCAATAGTTAAATCGATCGATTATCATGCGATAAATCGATAGTTGCAACTAGGAGAAATCTAGTAATCGCCCAATTACTAGATTTCCACTGTCGTCTACAATTCTGCCTCATTAAGAAGGGGTTTTGATAATTATTTAGAGTTTCTGAAAAACTGGTTTTCCAGAAAAGCGGATCTTCGAACGACCATGGGGAACTCCCATAATCATATTCGGAATCAGTATGATTGATAACCTATATCCCACTCAATTTCGATCAAAAAGCGATTTATAACCTCGAGAGATTCCCTCGTAAGACCGCTACTGTGGTAGAAAGATTTTTGATAAACATCTCTAGAGGAATTGAGCCACAGGTGGCTAATGACGTTTTTCCATCAACTAAAGTTAGAGTATGAGTAACACAATCACGATCATAATGTCCACTATTATGGCAGTTATAACAGCGAGCTCAAGGGGCACGTGGTGACGAATAAGGTGTATTATACAACAGACGAAATCCATTTGCAGATGGTGCGAGGAGACGAATATCGAGGTTGAGAAAAACTAGCTATTGATGGATAATAGTGTGGGGGTTGATCGTGGTAGTCCTGCCCAAGCAGACAAACTTTTTCGAAAACACGTTTAAGTGCATAAAAAAAGACGAAAAATGTAGAAAAAGTGGGCGTGTTTGGATGACAATCGGGGTTCCCGACTGTGAGCGAAATTTTTGAAGTTAGTTTGATGATATTAACTTACCCATAAAAATCATATCCACAACCTTGACATAATCTTGATTAGGTATGTTACAAACCCAAACCCAAACCCAAGCGACTTGGGTGTATTGGATTTGGGTTTGGGTACCCAAGTCTCGGACTTGGGTTTGGGTATTGGGTACCCAAGTCCTGGACTTGGGTTTGGGTTTGGGTCAGTTGCCAAAGTACATTAATATTCTTCTTCAATAAAACTTAGCAGTAGTAGCTTACGCTCTTCTGCCATACTATTCATTTATCTTTTTCTCTTCATCGTCGGTGGTTTCGCTTTCAAAACTTCACTTTTTTTCTTTAGTTTTCCGTATTCTTTTACATCATTTTTTATAGTGTACACCGATCATTTGTTAACATATTTGTGGCATGTTATCAGTGCTTATTTCTTTAGTATTTTTCTCTGTTTCAAGGATCAGGATGATATGAACAAGATAAGTAGAATAAAACATTCAACTGTTGAATATTTGAACTAATCCAAAATGAGCTCTTATCGTTAGCGTAAGGTATTACGTATGCCCACAGGTCGAAATAAACATCTTACATCCTGTTTTCTCAAAGAGCCACAACAAAAGAAGGTGTCTCAGTTAAAAGGAGTCTTTTAATAACCCAAGTCTGACTCAATATCCAAACCCAAGTCTTAGACTTGGGTACCCAATACCCAAACCCAAGTCCAGACTTGGGTTTGGGTTTGTAACATACCTAATCTTGATCAAATAAAGTCAAGTCGGTTTTAGAGTAGGAGAAAGCCCTACCTGTCCAACTCGTTTCGTTTTATGCTCCATTATTTTTTGAATACCTCGGATGGAACATTGTCATTGATACGCCTTTTCTACGTTATTTCGCGTTTGTATCAACTAGTGATCCGATGTATCTAAAATAACTTTGCTCAGGGTTATAACGTACGATCCCATAAATTACTCCCACTTTTTTAAGATTATTTCGTTCCATTTCTAGTCGAAAATGTTGACTGATTGTTTGTCTCTTTTTGCCATTTAATAATGGGTGAGTCTATTGACACTCCCAGGAGTGTCAACAAGGAGCTATTGCCACGCCCGGGCGTGTCAACAAGAAGCTATTGCCACTCCCTGGGCGTGTCAACAAGGTGCTAAGATGAAGAAATCTTCTGAATATTTTCCTTGAGGTTCATAGCAAGCAGTTTTATACATTTTCACAGGCTAACTGAGTACAACCATAAATAATATTTTCCTTTTTTTTTCTCTAATTTTCTTTTATACCCAATTCTTGAAAATGAGCCTGCAGATTTATCTTCATTAGAAAATGATATTTATATAGTCTTCTCTGTTGAGATTCATACCTATATTTCACTTTTATCAAAAAATATACCCGTCCGCATAGATTAACATTTTTTTTCCGATAGATATTTTCTTATATAAAGGCATGATTTATCTTTATTTCTTCAACGTTTCCAGAGAGCTTCACTTCAAGACTTTGGAAAACAATTCGAAAGCCATCCGTCTTTTCTCTTCACTACTTTTTCACTATACAGTTTTTCTTAAAAAATAAATATTAATATAAATACTATATACATAATATTAATAAATATTACTAGTTGAGTAGTGTAGAAGTCAAAAGTTCAATTCAACTATTCTAACTATTCAGCGATTCAATTATTCAAGTGTTAATTCAATTCTACATTCACTCTCACCACCCCTACTCCCCTCCGTCCCGACCTCCTGCCTCATT